TCGCTTCAGTTTTTAAACACTATGATTGAATTGAAGATTTTAGTCCGTCACCCTAAAGGTTCTCCAATTCTAGGTTCTCCAATTCTACCCTCCAATTCTACCCCCAACAAAGAATATTTTCCTATTTATTTGCACTTAATTCCATAAACGATGTTCTCCTTCATGGAATCAAATGTGATCCCTACTTTGTTGTAGAACCCATACTCCATTTCCCGAATCATATGTTTCACAAAATATTTTAACAATTCAATTGGCCAGTTTGAAAAGTAAATTAAGTTTGGAGTTGAAAAATCATCACAATTTATTTTACAATTTAATATTGACACATTCATATTATCTCTTCAATTCACCATATCTCAGAGTAGGGAGAAAGATAGAGGGAACTACTTAGACTTCATGAGAAAGAAATAACAAAACAGAAATTTCATATATAAAAGTAAGTTCATACAACACTCATAAACAAATAATACTTATCTGAAAACTCTTTCTCAAAGCAAATCCTTTGTAGCCTTTCCTTAGAAATGCAGGAAGATAATATCTCTCACTTTTATCCTTCTCCAACACTCTTACAGAAAGTTTCACACTAAATCTCACCACAAAAACTTTAAACTATGAAAAAAAATCACTAATTGGCTTCAATATGGAAGTGGAATGGAATGATGTGGTGCGAAAAATAAAAGTAAAGGAGTGAAAAACGTAGAGAAGCACTTTTTCTGATGAAATTCGGCCCCAAATAGAGCCCAAGGTCGGTTCTCTAAGAGGCGCCTCCAAAAACTCTTCAAAAAATTGTCCAAATACATTGAACCTTCTAGAAATGGGGTCTGCACCGCCTTTGGAGCCGTCGGCGCTGGTCTGGCATCGTCGGCGCTGGTCTGGTGTCGTCGGCGCTGGTTTGTTTCAGCGTCGTCAACGCTGAGCATTTCTTTAAAAATGTCATTTTGACTCCAAAATTCATCCTTTTTGCTTTTTTTTTTTGTTTTAAGCCCTAAAAATCAACAACCTGCAAGAAAACATCAAAATATCTTCCATTAAAGTGCAATATCATCAAAAATAGGTATAAAATATGGGTCTAAAAATGCATATATTTTTGGTGTATCAATTAGCTTGGGTTCAATTTGGGTTGAGATCGGGCTTGGGCTTAGGCTTGGGTTAGGTTTTCGATCTGGTTCAGGTTGGTTTTGGTCTAGATTGGGTCAGAGTTAAACCTAGGTTAGGTTAGGACTTAGGATTAGGTCGGGTTGGGGTCGACCTTAGTTGAACCCAAACCCAAGTATGATCTAATGCTATAAAGTAGGTTAACCTAGCCTAAACTTAACTCAAAAATGAAATGCTCAAATTTAAATTAAATTAAGAGGAATGTGGAGACTTACCGAAAGGAGGCTTATTGGAGGAGGCTCGTTAGAAATGGTTTCCTCTTCCTTCATTTTCTTTCTTCTTCCTATGCTCTTAGTACTCAGAGTGTACAGACGTGCAAGTGTAGTGCACTCCTGACAATAATGGAAAGGCTATTTTTGGCAATCAATAGGGTGATGAGTCAACAACCGTGATCTTTCCAAAGATTAGAGGCCCCACAGATTGCCACCAACAAAATGATGTGATGATTCATCATCAGATCCGTGGACAAAAGCCTCAAATTGCTGGTGTGGCATGAGAAGTGATCACGTCGGCTTGGGGCATGATCACACAAAGGAATATCTGGGCATGGTCATGCCTAGACTGGGTGTGATCACGCTAAGGTAATTCTGGGATCACCCGTAGGCCAGGCATGATCACGCCATGCCAAAAAATGGCATGGCCACATTTAGGCCAACATGACTAATGAGACAAATAGGCAATGTTCATGTAAGTCATATGTGACAAAAAATGAGGTTAACAAATACTAGAGGATTTAGTAAATAACATTTGATATCATCAAAAGCATCTTATAAAAGTGTGAAGTGTAGCCATCATGCCTTTAGTCTTGTTGCCATTAATACCATCCAAAGCCCTTTTGATTTCCTCTTCATCAGGAGCATGAGTGAGATCAAGATTGCTTGCACAGTCTCTTTTATCTATAAAGAACTTAAGAGAAATGCTTTGGCAGTCATAGGGAGAGGAGGTCAATAATGACTAACAACACTTTGAGCAATTTGTGAAGGTTCTATCAGCCACATTCCTTGAATATCTTTAATTTGCAAAATGACATTTGATTTCCTTATATGTTTGATCAGGGCATGACAATACTAGAGTTTCTGTCCCCATATAAAATCTTATTGACTGCGGATTTTTTCTATAAAAACTTTTCTTCCAAACTGATGGCTTGCAAATGTTTAGCATTTTCCTCTAAAAGATCTTGATCCACCCCCCAAACAACTTATTTCATTTTCTAGGAGCATTTACATCTCTTACTTTTCAGCTGCAGCTGCGCTGTTCCAGGAAGCTGCTGTGGGGAAACGCTGTGGGGAAACCGGCTGTCTGTTTGGTGCAGCTGTGTGAAAACAGCGGTGGGTCAACTGTTTATGAAAAAATGACCATTGTGCCCCTGTTTGCTAAAACTATTTAAAAGAAGACTATAACAACCATATTTTTTAAACTTCAGAAGCTGAAATTCATTTCTAAACAGAGCAGAAAGTTCAGATACACCAATGGATTCGTTTACTAGTCTAGAATTAGTATAAGGAGTGTCAGACATAATTTAAAAGTGAGATTAGGAAAAATGAGAGAACCAAGAGGAGATGGAGGGATGCCAAGCCCCATCTGAGAAAAATAAGGCACAATCTTTGCAGTAATAACTCTCAGAGATTTATTTTCATGCATCTCGATCTTCGTCAAAGGGTAAAGGTTACGAAAACAGGATGTGAGCTTTTCCATCGGCTATGGAGGGAGGTAACGTAGATTGAACAAAATTTTGCTATTACACTATACCAGAAGTGAACGAGTGGAACCGAAGGAAAATGGAAAAAAGTGGTTACCTGCCTCGTGCTCCCTGGATTCGGCCCTGGTAGAGGAAGAGGAAACCGGGGTCGATGACACGAGATGGCGAGACGACGCGGGATACAGGCGATAGATATGGCGAGCGCGGGAGACGAAACTTTGCGCCAAGGGCAAAAACAGTATTTGCCGAGGGGAAAGTTGAGACCGCGGGGTCGATCCCGCTTCCCGCTTTCCGCCCTTTTTGGATTTCTTCCACCGCGAAGCTGCGAGCCAAACGATGACACTCTGCTGTTTGGGGCCACAACGCTTCAAAAAAGCGGAGCCAAACGGAGCCTGAATATCACCTTCCAATTTAGCAACATGTTGTTCTGCATGTATAACCTACTAGTGTAGATTGCCAAAGCTCTCCCAATTCCATTGCTTCAAGACTTTTACTAGTTGTTTTTGTAGTCTCCATAGCTTATGAAGGGGATCTTCATTTTACTATCCATTATTAGCAGTCCAACCTTTCTTTACTACCTCTAAGAAATCCTTATGTTCAGTCGAGACATTAAGAAGCCTGAATTTAGAAATTTTGGCAATAACAATGCAGAAAGTGCAGAAGCAATCACGGGGAGATGTTTCAATTGAGAATAGGTGAGATTATCCATCCAAGATTTGTTTACCAGAAATCTATCAAGACTTTCCATAATATTCCCCCTTCTTCAAGTAAAAGAGTGGCCTTAGAAAACCAAATCAAACAGACTTGCATTGTTGATGTTGTTGGAAAAGGTCAACATGCTATTCAAATCAAGGATTCTGCCATCAATATTTTCACTTGGATCTGTGATATTGTTGAAGTCACCTCCAATAATCCAATAGCTCTGTATGCTGCTGCTAATAGTCAATAGATTCAACCATAATTCCACCTTATCTACATCAGAACAACCAACATAAGTAAAACTAGCACTGCCCTTGAGCTGCTTCAAAGTAAAATCAATATGTATGAATTGAGGGTTATCAATCAAAATTATGCATCCCAATTCCTTCCTATAAAAAAAGCCAAATTTTATTGTTAGTGTTAACATGAATTGAAAATCGAAAAACTTTTTGATGACTTGCTCTTGACTTTTTTGAACCATAGGCTCAAGAATAGCCAATACCCAAAATTTATAGACCTTGTTGAGTTGGTGAAGTCTGTTAAGGGTGCCAAGGTTAGCAATACCCCTAACATTCCAACATAAAATGTTAATCATGATGTAAGGATTTCCCAGCTCTAGTCAACCTGGAGAGGGAAGAAGCCTTTTAATTATATGAAGAGCCTCCAACCATAATGATATTCTCTTTAGGTAAGTGTCTCAACTCTGAAGCATTCTTTTTTTTTTCTCCTGGATTTCTGAATTGACCATTCTTCCTCCAATGAGCGGCCCATCTTTTGGAGTGTAACTTCGTTGATTTCAGTAGGTGTATTTATATTAGTTTCAGGAATTTCAGAGTAGTTCAACATCCTTGCAAGAGTTTCCATTTCAACCACAAATTCTTTCACTTGGGTAATGTTATTGGTAGTAGGCAGCTCAAAAGTACCATCATCAACATCCTTCAATACAAAGTTTTGTGCCTCAATAGTACCAGCATCTGCACCTTGCTCACAAACATTTCCTACAGTATGTAGAGCCAAATTGGACCTTACATGCAAAGACTCTTCTTCCACAACACGTAGAAGGTCATTGACATCTAGAATTCTGTTTCAATCTCCATTATGATTAGATTTTTGTTTTTCAATTAATTCAGTTTATGTAATATTAAATGTTTTGAGCGCTATGCATGTAAATCCACAAAAAAAAAAAAAAAAAAAACATGTATATTATTTATTACATAAAATAAAATAATCAAATTTAATAAAAAAATAATTGATTTCCTTATTAATACATATAATTTAAATTAACAGCTTTTTAATCTATTACTTAAATTAGTCATATTTTGATTCTTTCAAATTAAATTGTTTTTATCAAATGAAAATCTGATTAAACAAAATTTTATCCTTCCTAAATTATACGGTTAGTGGGGATAGTGCAGTTGCCACCTTCAGTTCGGATTAACAATTCCGAGGCATCGCGCGTTCTGCCTCTCAAATTTGTAGCTATATATAGGATCGAATTAGCGCTTCCCAGGCCTTACACGTTATTGCTCAAACCGAGATTTGTTGCATTCGTCCTTTTCCTCACTGTTTTCGGCTCTCTTTCCGCTCGCCGGAGCTGTGGATTATCGATCTCCATCCATCTACCTCCTCTGTCTCGTTGCTGCCTCCCATTAGCGACTTGCAGCTCTTGTCGCACTCTCCTGATTCTTCTAATTTTGACCTAATCGTCGAGCGTAGAGTAAGAAATCGACTTCTTGGTTTCCTCCAACTCTGTCCTTCAACCTAGTTTACAATCGATTTATTGTTTTTAGCGATTTTTCTTTTTTGGTTTTTTGTTGCTTGAGATGCGGCAAGTTGCTCTGTGTTTTTTTTTTTTTTAAATTTTGCTAAGCAATTATGTTTTTCCTACCAACGTTAAACGTTGATAAAGTTGATTTATAGGTTGATTTTTGTAGTTTAAATTTCGATCGCAGGTTTTTGCTATGTTTTGTAATTTTATCTATAGTTTAAAAAAAGGGTCATTTGGGAATTTAGCGTTTGCAGCCGTCTATTCCGAATGTGTTATTCTGTTAGCTATGTCGTTTGACTCTTAGGGTTTCACTGGTGTATGGGTTATGATGTAATGTGAATCATATGACATTAGATTTGAATATTTAATACATGCACAATCTTGCAACTTTTGAAGCATGGTGATAATTATTCCGTACTAAAAAATACACACAGTAGAATAATAATTTAATATATTAGCATTGCACGAAGATCCAACACACATATATATATATAAAAATTGGAAGGAACACAAGATTTTTTGTACGTGAAAAACCCTTAAAAAGAAAAAAAATCACAAATTTTAATCCAATAAAAATAATCCACTTTGTAATCAAGAGTACATTGGTCTACTCTTAACCTAGACTAGGAAAAATGAGATTATAAGATCATGTTGAAATTATAAGTGCTTTGAAATAACCCAATGGATATAACTCTATAAGGGTAGCTGGGACTATAATTATTGTACTTTGGCTATAATAGTTGTGGTTGGGGTATAACAATTATAGTTGGCTATAAAAATCATAGCTTACTATAAATGATAGTTGGTGGCTATAACATCCATAGTAGAGTTACTAAATCCGAGTTAGAAGCTATAATAATCGTAAGCTATAACAATCATATTTGACCATAAAAGCTGTAGTTGGTAACTATAACAGTCCTAGTAGAGCCATCAAAGCAATAGTTGAAGGCTGCAATAGCCATAATTGGCTACAATAATTGTAGATGGTGGTTGACAATGGCTGGTGGTTGGTGGCTAACTTTGGTGGTCGACTGTGGTCTCAAGTGACCGACAATTACCACCGAGACTTTAAGAGTTAAGCTTTAGCAGCCAACTAACTCTTCTCTTCTCATCCCAATTTTAAATGAAGGATGTGCGTCTGTTTAGAGTTTTTGAGGAAAATATTTTGGTAAATATAATCTTAATCTTAAAAAATTTTATCAAATGATTCACATTGATTCCCTTGATTAGACGTTTTTTTTTTTAATATTTAAGTGCCAAGATTAGATCATCTTAGGCTTGTTGGATTCTCATTGAGATGTTTGATTTGACTAGAAACATGTCAAATTTTGACATTATTTGACATTTCAATTGATGCACCAAAGTTTTTTTTTATTACATTTAAGTTTTTGATATGGGCTCACCTAAACTCGGATTGGATTCATTTGTTGTTATTGGGCTCATCTTGTCGATATGCTCAATTTGACTATAAATTTATTGAAATTGGTGTCTGTATGATCTTGAATTTAAAGTTGGAATATTTCTTGCTCAAAATGCATCGAGATTTGTGCACAATGATAAAATTTTCTTGATGACATATCATATTCATACTTAAAATATGGAAAATTATGCATCATATAATTTAATTTTTTGCTTTTAATGTCAATCTTATTCGCAAATTTGACTACAAGAATTTTTGCTAATTTAAAAGATGATAACATGAGCTACAATTAGAGCTGTCAAAAAAGCTCGTTGTTCGCGAACAGTTCGTGTTCAGTTCGTCAATGAGTTCGTGTTTGATTTGTTCGATAAGTAAACGAGAAGAACGTGAACAATTTTTTTTCGTTCGGTTAGTTAAACGAACCAAACACGAACAGTGATGCACTCGTTCGTGTTCGAATCATTATTTTTTGAAATATAAAATAATTTAAAATAATTATATATATATAATTTGTGATATTTTTTAAAAAATAAATTTTATAAATTATAATATATATAATAAAATAATAATAATAATATATTAATATACTATATTAGTAATATACTAATAGATATTATATATTTATATAATATAAGTTATATAATTAATATAATATAATATTTATATATATTTATATTAGGGATGTCAAACTGGCTCGTCGTTCGCGAACAACTCATGTTCGGCTCGTGTTCGGTTTGTTCGTTAAGAAACGAACACAAACAGTGACTTCACGAACAATTTCGAACACGAGCTTATTTCAAACAAACTAAATTTCAAACGAACACGAACACAAGCTTTGTTCGTTCGTGTTCGGTTCGTTTACACCCCTAGCTACAATGCACAAGGTCATTAAGAATGTTTGTCGATATGATTGACGTAAAATATGAATCATGTTGGTATGGTTTGGATATGGTCCAATTTTTTATTTGAGATGATGACATAGAGCAATGGTTAGGTTGCTCACATTATCCATTCATCCCGTAGTTGTGGAAGTTCTATCATCACAGTGGCACTTCAGGTTTCTCTTTTACTAGGATAAGCTGAAGCCTTCATTTATGAACTAATTTATATATTTCTCGTGAATATTTATTTTTCTTGTGGAATATCACTTTGTTATTCATCACTAAATTATTGTTTAGTTTTCATGTTTCTAATTTTACTTTAACTTTTCATGAATGGTATTGATTTTTTTGATCTTGTAACAAAAGTTGTTTATTCCAATGTTATGTTGCGTGATAACAATTTCGTATTTAACAGCTGTAACAGATGGCTTCATTCCAGATGAATGAAAATTCAATGCCATGTACGAAGTCTAAACTTGCTGAATGGGAACAAAATATTCGGACAATAAAAGCCTCTGAAGATTTTGACAATCATTCAGATCGTTCCAAAAAGTGTGAGGTATTTTACATATTTGCATTTGTAGTTTGTCTATTAGGGTTCTCTTCTTTGCTTAAAATTTCAACATACGTATACTCATTTGAAAAGGCCTAGAATAGTTGTATGACACTTCTGTCACCTGAATTGTTTCTCATCATTTTCATTTATCCAACAAGATTTTTTTACAAGCTCATATACTACAACAAATGTCTTCCATACATTGTTTTGTATATAATCATGTTAAATATACATCAAATTGAAAATTGACTTATTCGTATTTCTTTTGTAATACATTCAGTTTGCTTTCCAAAATAATTTGATTGACCTGAACATACATAATAGTTTTGCATCTTTGAAAATTATCTAGCTTAGACATTAACTATATCCTTCCATAACTATAAATTATTGCCAAATTTTTTAAACCATGGTTTCCAATAAATGGAGTGGATTGATAGTAATTGATGTCATGTGCCTTGACATGCTATGGTAACATAGGACTAGAATACTGATTATTTGAGGCTTGCACTCATGCGATCATGCACCAATACGTTATTGGCATGGATTTCTTTGATGCTTTATGTTGTTTTGATTTGTATTCCATGTGATATGCTTAGAAGTGCTATGATACTCATAAACAAGACTAATGTTCATGGCGACCAGGAACATGGCATTGTACTTAATTTGCTTGATTGAAAATACTTTTTATAATTTGAATTGATTGCATCAACTCTTGTTGGTCGTAAGTTAGCATCTAAAAGCATTTTGATACATCTTTTAAACCTCTCTCTATTCCAACATTTCAGTCTTCAAATGCTAAATCTTGTTTGAAAATTTTCAGTTTCCAAAGCTCTTGCTTAAGATGCAATAAATTGATCAACCGAAATTGCGTTTTCATTATGCGTTAAAGCCCTACTTGCCTTTAAATATTCGTTCAAGATTTATAGCATAAAGGTGATGATATATTATAGTTGTTCTTTCGTGACAATATCTTAATTGAAAAGATCTATTTTTAAGATTTTTTTTTCTTAAAATTATCATCATGCTAGACATAATGTATGAAAAATGACATATTTATTTAAGCTTTAGATACAAGCAATTTATTTTGAATAATGGCCTTATAATGTTATCAATATATATATCTTATGTGTAAAGTTGCAGGAGCTGTTTAAGATAACAACTTCCATTTATAAATTTCCTTTTTTTCTTGGACGATTATGGCCATCTTTGTTGAACCCCATCCCTCCCTTTTTATTCTAATGTTTGTCAACTTGTCATTGCACCTTAATGAATTGTTATTTTAAATTGTGAGATAAGACCTTGCATTGCATTCTATCATGTAGTGACTAGTTGACCAACATGTTGTTAGGAAAGATTATGTCTTAATTGATGATTAAGAATGGTGAACTATAATGCAAATCTAAAAGATATCAAGCACCAAAAAAAGAACACCAAAATTTACATGGTTTAGCTCAAGTAAGCCTATCTTTATGGTTCTATAGAGATTGCATAATTCACTAAGGGAGCTGTTTGAAGTAGCAGTCGTAAAACTGCTATAGAAAAATTGTTATTAAAAATGCTGCAGTGGCTATTAAAAAAATTATTTTAATTTCAAAAAGTTAGACTGTAGCTTTATTGCAGCCACCACACTCTAACAATTTATTTTGAAAAAAATTGCTTTCAACCACAAAAATTTCTAGAATGCAACAAAGAAATAGTCCCCAAATAGAGCTGCGGTGGCAGTTTGAAAAGCAAATAAGCTAGAAAGCTATCCCAAACAAACCCTAAGTTTCAAAAGGGTAGGCGAAGGATTACACTTAATTTATATGAAGTTGAAGTTATGAACAATGATACCATTTTTTCTAACTAAAAGTGAATGAAAATTGCTTAAACTTGAGGGTTTGATGTAGAGAAAGAGATGTTTCCGTTGCTTCACTTACTATCTTATTTATTACATGAGTTTAAAATGAGAACTGTTTATACTCATGAGCAAGTGCTTCTTCTCTTGGTGAAACAAGCAGTAGTAATTTGTTAACTTAAGTGTGCTTATGCCTATCCCACAACATGAAGTCAAAGAACTCTTGTTAGCACCCAAAATGACCTTTTTTTTCCCTTGGAGGTCACTCTTCTCTTCTCTCTCTCTTTCTTTTTTCTTATTGTTAGCTTCTTGCTGTCGCATGCATAGGACTATTGATTTCTTCACCTTTTTTAGTTGCTTCATGAAGTTGTAGGTTTAAAAGATGAAGTGTGAATATTGCTTGAGTTAGGTTTAAGAGATGAAGTGTGAATGAATCTTGAGTAGTCTATCACTAATGCTGACAAATAAGTTTGAATGAATTTTGAGTTTTATGGCTACTAATCTTAAAATAAAATTTAAATTTTATCCAATACAATTAAAAAAAAAGTTAAACTCCATAATAATGATCTTCCACTTATAGTCTGAATTTCTAATATACATATTTAGAGGTCATCACTAATCATGTATTTATGCAGCATTTTCTTTCATTAATTGTGAATTTTAATTGAGGCTTTGCTATAAACTTTATCCTCTTTTTATGTTTCTTCTTTATTTTGAAGTTATTAAATCATGTATTTATGCAGCATTTTCTTTCATTAATTGTGAATTTTAATTGAGGCTTTGCAATAAACTATCCTCTTTTTATGTTTCTTCTTTATTTTGAAGTTATTACCTATCTAACAATAGCCATTTGTCTTTTGGAAGCTTTCACTTGACAAAAAATTTATTTACACTACATTGTATAATCATTAGCAATGAATTTAACTATAACTTCCATTTTTTTGGCTGTTAGATGCCATATAATTAGTAAAATTCATATTTTCATAGGATATCATCGTAGTTGTTAAATTTAACTCATCAACATATGACATTACACTTTGTAATATATAGCCTCTAATTTTAACTCACTCGTATTGACCTCAAGTATTTCAACATCACCTGGTAATTCATAGCCTAAAATATTGAGAGTTCTCAAAGATTTTATATTATTTTTAAAATATGGCACATAGTTAACTCCAGCCAATGATATTATCATGTCACCATGTGTCATCAACTTCAAATTACCAAAATCTATAATAATTCATACAACTATATGATACTAGTTTAATTGCATGTGCATCAAGCGCACGTGATTAAAATTTAAAATATTATCTAAATTTCTTTCATTTGTAGCTCCAGTAGTAGACAAGATTAGAGAGAGTAGTCTTAGATGCTTTGGTCACATTAAATGTCGACCATCTCATGATCCAGTTGTGAGAGTAGATGTTTTAGATCAAACTTATGTTAAGAAAGTCAGAGGTAGACCTAAAAATACTTGGGCATATTGTATAAAAAATAATCTTAATTTATCAGAATTAAATCAAAATATGAAACTTAACGGGACGCAATGGAGAAAAAGGATTCATGTAGCCGACCCCGCTTAGTGATATAATGACTTGTTGTTGTTGGTAGATATACTCAATAAAAAAGTTATCATCATCTAACATGCAATTCAACTTTCATGTTAATTGAAAATAATAAAACATAATTTTCCATTAGACATAAACATACCACCCTTTGATTATGGTAAATCTAGATTTATATTAGAAATGTTGATGATGTTGTTGAGAATGTATAACTTGAGAATTTAAGACATATATTGATAATAAAAAAAAATATAACTATAACTTTTTTGTATTGTGTTTATATATGAAGTAAATTTCAAAAATCAATTGGCACTTGCAATTTTGTTAATTAAAGGAATAAAAAAATATTTCACTTTCACACAATTAATTAAGTTAAAAAAGTTCATGAAATTATTTTTTATGTTTGTTCACTGCTAAGATTAAAAAAAAAATGAATTTTATGTCAAAACTTAAAACATTTGTATTCAATGGACGATAGGGTGGGGATTTTGAGTTAGAAAATGAAGGGGCAAATATGTAAATAAAATGAGATGAAGTGTAGAGAAAATTTTTATTCTCAAAATGAATTTTCTATGATTATTATAGTAGTTTTTATATGATTTTATTTAAAAATTTTCTATTTGAATATCAATGAATTATGATATATAAAAAGGATTTTTTAATTAATTTTTATGAAATTTTTATTTATTTATCAAGTATGTTATTTATAAATTATTAGAATGAAGAAAAAATTGGTGATAAAAATAATAATTTACTCATATATTTCTCAATAAAAAGTTATTTATACAAGAAAGAGCTTTTGTTATTTACTTTTGAAAGTATGTATGCGGTTCTATCTTTTTTGTTTAACACTGAAAGCAAGACCGGATTTAGATATAATTATATACAATTTAACAAATATGCTTTATTTTGATTTAATACATTTGAAATTTAACTAAATAGATTAGTGTATCATTAATTTATTAATATATATATATATATATATTAATATATGTATAATGCTCTAAAATGATATCATCATCATTGTTTACTTATTTTTATCTAGTGGGATGGGTGGGAAGCTCTAAAAACTCGTGTTGTGGATATCTTCCTGATGAGGAGAAATAAATGAGATATATAAGCACCAAACACCAATGAAGTGACTGACTAGATTAGTTGGTCGGGTATCTACTTGTCAGTTTGTATATATATCGCCGCGTACTCAGATTAGTTGGTCGGGTATCTACTTGTCAGTTTGTAAGTCCCCTCTGGTTGGGGTTCGACTCCCCCCAAGTGTAGGGTGTGGTACTCGATTTCTTAGACGCATGAGAGATGGCATATAATAGCCACTGACCATTCCTTTACAATATTATATATATATATATATATAGATATATATATTAAAAATGAGTGGCCTAAGGCTATTATACGAGCCTCAACCATCCCTGATGCGCCTAAGAATTCGAGTATCACGCCCTCTACTGGGAGGAATCAAACAAGAATAAATTCTTCATGGCATGTAACACATTTAATTTATAGTTTTATAGTGGATCTTTGAATTAAAGATGGAGTAAATAAGAAGTGTTAAAATTGTATGATAAATTATGAGCAATTAATATTTTTTAAAATGTAAATAATTTGTACTTTTGACACTCTAATAGATAATAAGAAAACATAATTATTTACACTTTTGAGATTCCAATAGATAATTGGAGAATGTAAACGATCATTTAGAATGACATAATATATATATAACAAAATCCTACCTTTTATTCAATACATGAACCATAATAATTATAGTTGTCTGTTGATATCTTGATCTTGCATATAATTTGATGCAACATGTATAAATTTACACAATGTAATGGAGAATTTTTGTGAGAAATTAAATTCTTAATTGAATTTAACGGATACTTAATTTGTAGCATTATGAGTCATCATTTGAAAATAGGGGCGAAGATTTAAAATTATAAAGGCTAAATAAAATAAAATATTAGGATTAAAGTGGGGAGGGTCACAAGCCACTTTTATAACCTTACTAGAATAGAAAGTACAGTTATAAATATCTTAATTCGTTTAATACCTCTAATTTTGTTGATGGAAATGCAGCTGTTGTAGCACGTGGGGAATGAATTTGACTCTTATAAATAATCAATCTCTTAAAAGTGAAGAGTTGCAGAAAGAAACCAAAGAGTGGGGAAATGAAAAGTTAAAGATAAAAGAGTTAGAGAAGTTATAGTAATAAATAAATAATTAATTGGAAGATAAATGGGATCTCAAAATAGTAGATTATTTCTCGGAAAAATGAATATATTCTCAAAAACGTAGATTATTTTAGAAATAACTTTAAAAGATGAAAATATTCTTAAAATATATATTATAAAATTAGGGTTTGTTTGGGGCAGCTGCAACTTATTGAATAATCTGCTGATAAGCTAGGTGCGGTGGCTATTACAAATTTTTATTTTTTCGAAAAGTTAAATCGTTGTCAGAAAGCTGCCACCACACCCGTCTAGTTGCGGTGTGAAAAGGCTGCTTTCAGCGTTTTTAAAACACATAAGCTGTCAAAACGCAGTTTACCCACACAGGTCGGGTGCGTTTGTAAAAGGTGCGTTTGTAAAACGCACCGCACCAAATAAGTTGCCTCAAACGGACCCTTAATTGATGCAATCATTATGAAATTAATAGTAGATTTCTAAAAAGTTGATTATTTATCGGAAAATGAATGAGTTCTTTAATCCTAGATTATTATTTTATTATTTTAGAAACATCTTTATATTTAGAGATGAGAGTTTCATACTAAAAAATATAAACTAAATCGATATAAATGAATATGGGGAGAATCACAATTGTCTTGTATAATAGTGGTATAGATATGAACAAATTTTAATTGATGCAATAGAAATACTAATGAATCTTCAAATGAAATTGAAACATCAAGTTAGGTAAGGAATCAACTACTTCTACAACATTAAATTAATTCCCAATATAAGTGTATATAGAAAAAAATATTATTGAAGAAACAAATTATATAACTAAAGAATACTTATTGTTGACAAATTTGGTCCTGTGATGATAACTTATCAATCAACCAAGTAATATTTATCAATAGAAAAATTAACAAAAAATGAGTTTGCTAGGAAAGCTCAATTGATAAATTCTATTTATTAAAACATAAATCATATGACGCAAGGAACACAATATAACTATTGAAAATGATTTGATAAACAATCCAATATCTTATTATAACAATCATATCAATCACTCCAATTTTGTTTAAACTTCTTCAACCAAGATTATTAAATATGACAACGATTCACTAATGAATTTGTGTTGGAATTTATTGCACATCAAGTGCAAAATGACAATTAATGCTTTTAAATTTTAAATCATCCACAAGCATGTTTATTATATTTTTTACAACTAGGAAGGATTCATCAATTATTTATTATTATGTTTTTGATTCATAGTTGGTCACTTTGCCTGACATCCCTTAAAATAGGTTGTCACGACCATGTCCGGGATCTTAGAATATGAAGACAAGAATAGACGGTCAGAGGAATAAAGTACTATCTAAACTATTTTATTGCTTAAATAAAATCATCCAATACATAAAAGAGCCGTTCTAATTTTATAAGTTTAATTTACAAACATTTATTCAAATTTAAAATATATTTATGACAGAAGAAAAAGTAAAAAACTGAATTGCTAAACCTATCTCCTTGGGTTTTTCTGTACACAATCTCTAGGATCCATCTACTAGAAGGAGATTTTCTAGAAAAATTCTAGCCACTAGACGGTACGAGTTAAATGACTCAATGTGTAAAATGTCTCAAATATATAATAATTTACATTTTAAAAATATTTTATAAAATGATAATAAACAATAAAAAAAAGATAGTAAAAAAAAATTGTTTTATTATTACTTTTATTTATTTTAGTTAAAACATTCGTCAATGCAAGTCCCCATCTAAATGTGTATTAAAAATACTTATTTTATAATATTTTTTTAAAATCCATAAAAGAAGCAACCAATTATTTTCATTTCCATTTATACTTTTATTTATGTGCACTGGTATGTTGTTTTTCTATATATTATCATATGGGTTGGACTCCACATGTATATCTGCACATATCACTTTTATTTTATTTTTTTATTTAAAATTTGCTTTAACTAATGAAACATATGAAAAACATGGAATTTTCCATTTTTTAAAGGAAAAGGCTAAAAATTTTTAAAATGTTTGCATTTTAAAAGATAACACTGAAATAGTTTTAAACATTTAAATGTGATTACAGAAATAAAGGAGCTACTATAAAATAAAAACATAATCATCCACCTATTCAGTACAGTCTGTTATCCTTTTCTCAGTCAATCTATCATTTTAGTGCATCTATAGTAACACATCAGCTTTGATTAGCTTCTATTATAATTTTGGCTCTTTCATATTGATCTAACTAAAACAACTTTGATACATTCACTTGTAGTTTATTTGCTCAAGTAGTTATTTTGTTATTTCATACAAGTAATTTATTAACACATTTTTCTTATTCATCAACTAAATTTAATATATGCAATAATATATTACAATTAAATTAATTAAATTTTTAGACCTTTGATTTGATAACATTCCTAAAATTTCTTCTCGACATATATTTTAATCTAAGCTACAATAACAATAAAAGATAAGTATCTAATGCTGTACATGGATTTCGTACCTGTAGGCCCCTTTTCCTTCTCTGCTTTAGCCTTCTTGTCACATATCCTAAATATTTTTTAATTATAGGTATTCTGAAATTACAACTCCATTTAATCAGGAATAAAATTTTCAAGATTAAGAACAATAAAAAAAAGAGATTTTTGCATAGGACGCACCCAAACATTAATATTTGTAAGTTAAGCATCTTATTTATGGGAAAAAGTGTAATTCATCTTTTCATATATGTTTTCAAATGTAGGATAAATTGTAAAAGTAAAATTTAGGTGTGAGAAAAATAAATGAATAAAATTGGGTGCTTCCTGTGTAAATTTTCCTTAAAAAACTAAGTTTTAACTTTTGGGAATTCATAATGAGGCTCGAGCAGCTCCTACTGGAGCTGCTCGAGCTTCTCAGCTCGCTTCTGTTTTGTTAGGGCACGGACTCCCTTCTTCTGCTCGGTTCAGCCCTTCCTCTTAACCGCAGGCAGGCTCCCTGCGCTTTCTTTTATTTTGTTCGTGCTCGCGGCTCTGTCGCTCGAGTGCCATGAAGATATTCCCTCGATCTCCCTCCCTTCGACCCATCACACTTTCTCTCCCTTGCTCCGTCTCTCAGGCCCTCTCCCTCTTTGGTTCGTGCGTTTGCTCTTACAAGACAATAGGAAAATTCTCTTGTTTTAATTTCCTGTTGGCAGCGGGAGCTTCGATAGAACGACATTTGCTTCGCTGGTGTCGTGTGCAAGTTGAACAATTAGTTTTTTTTCTTAATTTAAGCTAATTAAATTTTTAAAAGATTATTTTTAAATGGGAAGAAGGTTCTCACTAGTTGAACTGAGTCCAATAATCCCAGTAAGAGTCATCTCTATATTGAATCACCTGTCAACTAGGTAGCAATCATATACTGTCGAGATTCATATCCAGTAGGCATGCAATCATAACTTGATGCATGTTCTTTAAGAAGAAAATGTTCAATAACAAGGTATTTATCAACAAAATGATCTCAATTGACTTCATATAACTAGATTCTATGATCAGCTGACATCACATGGATCATTTCAAGAGACTTGAATTTATGCAGCAATTTAGTTGATAAAGCAAACTATCAATTATATGACATCAATTTGCACATTCTATTAAGTATAAAAGTAAACCTTTAACAAGCGTTTAAGATAGTACCCCCAATAAAGAAAAATATGTTTATCCCTTAATAAATAAATAAATTTTAATTTCCTTTACATGCATCGCTAAAATTCTACATTCTTCTATGAACCAAAGAAACACCACTAGATGTGATCCCAGATTTTTCCAGATATTGTTAAAATGATCAGTTTGAAGATCCTATGGAGTTTTGTGGCAGAACATTCGTGTGTCAGTTCTTTCCTTTGATTGCTGGTAAAGCTTAAATGAATGGCTTTTTATATGCATATCATGCTGAACTTGTTATTTAATGTGGCTTGTATTTGATTTTATATTTCACCATATGTCAACCGTTGATTTTTGCTTTCTTAGTATGCTATTATGTTTCGTTTTGGTATATTTCTTTTGTTAAATCATCTTTTTGACTTTGCAGATCTTGAAGAGTGGGCCTTTACTTGTATCATCTAAAGGTTTGTCTTCTTACACTTATTGGATATGATAATCCCTCTTTTATCTAGATTTTTGGTGTTCTTGTCTACGTTGACATATCTAGCCATCTTTGGTTTTCTTCTTCTATCTTTCCTTGCTTGCTGATCTAACCTTCTAAAGTATTATTCAAGTCAAATCGCCTAGTTCTTGAGAGCTTTGTTTTTAACCAAGAGGTCATGGGTTCAAGGCTTTGCATATGTGGTGTGGGTGCGTTTGGGTGTGTAAAAATAAAAATAAAAACGTTCTGAAGCTCATATTAATCTTTTTTTTCTCTGTTATATTGAGGAGTTCTTACTTGACTTCTTAGATTGGTCTTCTTCCGCTATCTTTGTTCTGGTAGTTGCCCTTTTGAAATAATCAAATTAGCTATTGTTTGAATTGTTTTACCCGAAAAATAAATGCTACAACTAGTAACCACATTTGTTTAGCAACTATGCCATACTGGCAGTTCTTTCCTGTGCTTGCAATTTTCTTAATCTGTGAAGTTATGCTGTTTCTTTTTCTATTTTTATTGATAATTACAATTTTTGATATGCTGTTGGTCACTCAAAATGTCAAAAGCCAAACATTTGTTTAGCAACTATGCCATACTGGCAGTTCTTTCCTGTGCTTGCAATTTTCTTAATCTGTGAAGTTATGCTGTTTCTTTTTCTATTTTTATTGATAATTACAATTTTTGATATGCTGTTGGTCACTCAAAATGTCAAAAGCCAAATATGCCATACTGGCAGTTCTTTCCTGTGCTTGCAATTTTCTTAATCTGAGAAGTTATGCTGTTTCTTTTTCTATTTTTATTGATAATTACAATTTTTGATAAGCTGTTGGTCACTCAAAATGTCAAAAGCCAAATACATTTTTGCAGACAATCAAAAGAGTCAACATGTTCTGAAAATTATAGAGAATGACCATTTTCCCGTCTGTGAACCTCTTTGGTATTGTTTGTGATTTTAACGATATCCTATAAGTTCAGCTTATCAGTGATTTTAATGAATTCACAGGAATTGGATGGCCGTCTTGGAAAAAACGGTGGTTTGTTCTTTCTCGCAAATCATTTCAGTTTTATAGAGTTGACCCTGTAAGTTGTGCACTTATGTTCATTTCGCTATCTTGATATCTTTAATTTTTTTTTCTTATGAATTTATTAATAACGTATTATATATAGCTACAATTTTGTTATTAAAATTTTTTCGTTTATTTGATATGGCTTGTGAAAGTTGAGAAGTAGATTATATTTTACTGAAATTTGCCAATAGTGATCCCTATACCCATGATTAGTGGAAGTTAGGAGAATTAAGAAATGATTACAGGAGTATCACACTGCAGTTCATTTAATGATTAGTCAGTATTGCCTTAATACATTTGATCCTGTTGATCATAAATAGACTTGAAGCCACATCGCTTTTTGTTTTTTAATGTTTGGTCTTTAGAGTAAGCCTGTTAATATTATGTCAAAAATTTAGTCCTATTCAGTCATTTATTCAGTCTGCTTCTCTAGGAACAAGAGCGCTCAAATCATGTGCCGAAGCGTTCCTGATTGCTATTGTTGTTCTAGTCGACTCTGAAAGAAGGGTTTTTGGGATTGTTTTGTGAATTTCGAACTATTTCATGGTTTTTTTCCATTGGATACATTGGGAGATATGTGGCAAAAAAGATGCAGTCTTCTCTATTGCTACATATCCACTAGACTAAATCATAGGAATGCTAAAAAAACATTTTTTATTTATTGGGAATGAATAACGATGTTTTTTGTAAGTAAATTTTTTTCCATTTCATTTAACATCATTTCTCATTCAGTTAATTTTGTTACCTTCTGTATTTTTCCTTCGTACTAGATTTTTCTTTGCTTATGTCTTCATAATGAAGGTTTTTTCTCATATGCTTCATTGAGTATATTAGAAGCGACAGATGAAAATATAATAGATGGTTTTTACTCTGACGTGGTTTATTTTAAAGCTTGCCAAATCTCAAAGTGTTTTTTATGTGCTCACATCCAGAATACTCTACCTCAGAAAGGAAGTGAAGCACCAGCCCTCGGTGGCATTACCCTCAACAACTCAGGGAGGTTAGGATCTGTTTGGGTTGCAATTTATTTTTGTTTTCAATTTTGATTATATGTAATGAAACTTATATTGTTACCAACACACATAAACTTGCGATTATTTGAACTGCAGTGTGGTTGTGAAAACAGACAAAAAACTCCTCACTATCCTTTCTCCTGGTGCTCGGAATGGAAAAGCTTTCTCAGTCAAGGTTTTTTTTTTCTATGCTATTGAAATTATTTTGTTATTCTGGTGTTAATATTTGATTTAGGCTGTCATTTTTACTTACAAAAATTTTTATTGTTGAACAGACTGAAACCTTGGACGAACTAAATGACTGGAAAGCTGCCATAGAAGGTGCTTTGGCTCAAGCACCTGGTGACACCAATGTAATGGCGCAGAATGAAATAATCCTTAATGAAGGAGCTGACTCAATTGAAGCTTCAGATGAGCAATGTAATTCCTTATGCTAGCACATTAAGTATTATCTTTTTGCTATGCGCACCTAGTTTATATTATCCCAACTTTTTTCAGAAGTTTGATACATTTTCATTTGTATTACTTATTCACTCATACTTTTTCATTTCACTTTTTTTTCAACACCATGAATTTTATATTAGGAGCATTTTGTTTATAATAAAGAAAGTTTTTATAATGCGGGTGTTTTAAATGATGTTTAAAGAGAGAGAGGCTGCTCATGAATTCTGTTTATTATGCTGCACATGAATGTCTATTTCCTAAGTTTTTAATGTGCAGAAAATAAGCAGAAGTTTGTTGGGAAAGGATGCTAAAATAGGTTTATTGAGTTGATTCATTGATCTTGAATTTGCGCTTGCTTCAAATTTTGTTAATGATGAACCCTTCCAGTTTGTTTCACAATGTCTTTACTCCATCCACGTTAGTTTAAAGAGCACCAGAAGTGTCTCATCTAAATTCCATATTTTTTTTATGGCTGGTTTGAGTTGTGGATAAAAGTGGTTGATATACGCGGAAATGAGGGAAATATATTTTAATAAATTATTTTCAGGCATTATACGGAAAGATTGGTTACAAATGCCATCTCTTGAACAATTAACTAGTCAACTTGTCAATGAAATTTGATGGAGATCATACCTCCGCTATTTGTCTCTGTTTGTCTAGGCTTACATCAGCGTATTTTTTGTGTAGTATAACTTAATGCCTTTATTCTATATTTTTTATCATGTCAAATTTTTTGTAGAAATTCTTGTATTTATGCCATTTTTCTCTGTTTGCATTATTGCGTTTGAAAATATTGACCAAACTTTAAGGATGCTGATCAGCTTTTTATCTTCAATTGTCAACTGTTTGATGTTATGGTGTGATTTATATTTTCCTCTTTGCAGTGAAGGATAGGCCTCGTACTTCATCTTCAATCATTGGGAGATCAGTCTTACTTGCTCTAGAAGAGATTGACGGGTCTCCTTCTTTCTTAGAGAAGGCCTTTAGGTTCATTGAAGAGCACGGCAAGTTATTTCTTAGCATTATTTTTAATTTTATCTTGATCTGGATTCTTATAATTCCTCCCGCTCTTGACTAAAAAAACTCACTTTTTGTTGCTTAGGCAAACAAAGGCAGGAATGATACTGTTTTGCTTAGCTTTTACTTTTTGACGGTACTTTGCCGAACTACCAAAGAAAAATGAATTTTTTTCTATTGAAAAAGGTGGATAAATGAGTTTCAACAACATTAAATGTCATTTTTCATGCATTGATTGCAGCAGATACTTGATCACTTTTAAGTTTATGTTGGGTGATCAGCTGTTTGTTATGTAGCCACTGATTAAGAAAGCCAAAAATTATGTATTAAGGTCACTTTATATAAACAAAAAGTCTTTATGTTATCAGAGTTAGTCTAGGCCACAACAGTAAAACAAATATTTTTATTGAAAGCAAATAAATGGTTATAATTAAACACACTTGAAAGGAAAATTTCAACATAGATGACACAAAACTAATATTAGGGCTTGATCCAGGAGTGATGGAGGTCGAGGAGCAAAGATAGGTGGCTGAAAATGGGTTGTGGGTGGTTGAGATAGCAAAAAGAGGTGTTGAAATTGCGTTTGTAACGAGCCGGAGAACTAGGGTTGTAATAACTGAATTTAAAAAAACAGAAAATTTGATTAATACCATCTAAACTTCTATTTCCGGCTTGGTTGATTCCAAGCCCTCAGTCTGGTCGTGACAAAAGTGGTTTCAGAGAAAGGTTTAGGATCATTTAATGTAAAATTAATTTAATAGCTAATATGATACAACAACAACAAAACTTTTATCGCACTAAGTGGTGTCGGCTACATAAATCCTTTTTTTCCATTGCGTTCTATTTAGTGTCATATTTTCATTTAACTATATAAATTAAGATCATTTTCTTATACAATATGCCCAAGTCTTCCTAGGTCTACCTCTGCTTTTCTTGACATAAGTCGAATCTAAAACATCCACTTTTCTAATCAGATCATCACATGGTCAACGTTTAATGTGACCAAACCATATAAGACAATTCTCTCTAATTTTGTCCGTCACAAGAGCAACACCAACCCTATCACAGATATATTCATTTCACATATTGTCTCTAAGTGTAAAGCCACTCATCCACCTAATCATTCTCATCTCGACACCACTTAGTTTTATGCTTCTCTATTAAAGACCAACATTCAACGCCATAGAGCATTGCACGTCTCACCACCATTTTATAAAATTTTCCTTTCGGTCTAAGCGGTACTTTCTATCACACAATAGGCCCGAACCAACCAACTTGAATCCTTATCAATATCAACATCACTTTGAATAATAGACCCAAGGTATCTAAAGCGGTCACACATTTTAATAATTTGATCACCCAAAGTTACATTTCTATCACTAGAGCTACTACTACTAAATTCACATTCATGTATTCAGTTTTAGTTGTATTCAAACGAAAGCCTTTAGACTTCAAGGTAGATCTCAATAATTCAAGTTTTTTTGAGTTTTTTCTCTCTTCTTATCCAAGAGAAGGATATCATCAGCAAAAAGTATACACCAAGGTACATCCTCCAAGGTACATCCAAAAAGTATACACCAAGGTACATCCTCCTGTAAGTGTTCAGTAAGACCATCCATAACTAAAGCAAAATGATATGGGCGTAAAGCTGATCTCTAATGTAAACCAACAAAAAAAAGGAAAATATTTGATCAATCCTCCTTCTGTTTGAACACAAGTAACAACCCTTGTATACATATCTTTAATGACTTAATTCAAGTTTTTTTGAGCTTTTTCTCTCTTCTTATCCACGAGAAGAATATCATCAGCAAAAAGTATACACCAAGGTATATTCTCCTGTAAGTGTTCAGTAAGACCATCCATAACTAAAGCAAAACGATATGGGCGTAAAGCTGATCCCTAATGTTAACCAACAAAAATTGGAAAATATTTGGTTAATCCTCCTTCTGTTCGAACACAAGTAACAACTCTTGTATACATATCTTTAATGACTTAAATATAAGTCATAACAACACTTTTCTTCTCAAGAACTCTCCAAAGGATATCTCTTGGAAGCTTATCTTAACTTTTTCTAAATCAATAAAAATCATATGTAGATCGTCCTTATTATCTCTAAAATTCTCTGTCAAACCTCTTAATAAATATATAACTTCCATAGTATACTTACCTGACATAAATCCAAACTGATTATGAGAAATCTTTGTAATACGTCTTAACTTATGTTCAATTACCCTCTCCCATAATTTTAAAGTATGACGCATCAACTTAATTTCTCTATAATTTGCACACTTTTGTGTGCCCCCTTTATTCTTAAAAATGGGGATAAAATACTCTTCCTCCACTTCTCAAACATCTCTTCCTCCACTTTCTCAAACATCTTTTTAGTTTTTAAAATAATATTAAAGAGTTTAGTAAGCCATGAAACTCCCAAATCTCCTAAATATTTCCACATTTCAATTGAGATTTCATCAGGTTCTACAGATTTTCCACCCTTGATTTTCTTTAATAGCTAATATGATAATTGCAAGAAAATTTTATGATATTAAAAATTGAAGGTTTAAGTTAACATTAATGAAGTAATTATTTTAATTCAAGCAAATAAATGCACCTTAGATTCAGGAAGAGAGAAATGTGGTAGAAAATGAAGAAGTACCACCTGTCATACATAAAAATACGTATCTTCTGAACCAGATGATGACGAATATGTCTCAGCTGATTTAGAAATCCAAACTGCAATCTAGTGGGGGTGAGACCATTATTGTAGATAAATATTTGAAGATATTTCAAGATTTACATTCACCTTTGTTTATAGGATTTATAGGAACTGAAGATTCAATTGAAGTGGAGAACTGATTAATGTGAATTGAGAAGATATTGGATAGCATGACGTGCCTTTATGAAAGAAGAGTACCTTTAGCTACCTTTGTGCTGCATGGAGAAGCTGAATGGTGGTGGTGTAGGCAGCATTGAGATAGATTGAGGGATGTACCCAATGCGATGGTAAGTTGGAAGGATTTTGTGAAACTTTTCAAATAGTGGTTTATACCCCTATCCGCTCGAAGACAAATGTGGGAAAAATTCATCAAGCTGGTGCAAGGAGAGATGTAAGTTGTGCAGTATGAAACATAGTTCACTACACTATCAAGGTATGCTTCATAGCTGACAACTGTCGGCACAAAAAAAGAAAGAGAGGTTGTTTGGGGGGGGTTGCCCGTGAGAAGTTGTCGGCAGCCGGAATTGAAATCCCATCGCCCGCTTCGGAAGGACGTTTTAATTTACGTGTGTATATATATATATATATATATATATATATATATATATTTTTAAAAAAATATAAAAAAAAAAAAAACACACATATTTATAAAATCTAAAATGATACTCTAAATAAATTACTTGTTCAAAGCAAAGGACAAGTTTGAAAGTTTGAGGCCCAATTTACCCAAATTCATAAAATCTAATGGTTCAAATGAAGAGAGGTTTCAAAAAATAAAATACTTCTAACTTTTAACTTTAGTACACTATTGAAATTTGACTAAATTTTTTGCTATTTACCTATTCTTTTTTTTTTCCAAGTTTTCCCGCGGTGGAACAAAATACGTGTTAATGCTGAAATTTTCATGATTCTGATACTATCTTAACTACATCTAATTACTTTGTTAGACAAAAGGCCCTTTTATATCCAATAATAAATATGTAGCGGGTATAGTTTAGTGGTAAAAGTGTGATTCGTTCTATTAACAACTTCAAAAGTTAAGGGGTCTTTCCTTTTTTTTCATATTTCATATTCCGATCAAAAACTTTATTTCTTAAAAAGATTTAATACTTTATCCCTCAATAGCACATTTGAGGAAAAAATATACATTATCACGATTTCTATCCAAAAGACAATCATAATTTTCATAAAAAAATTGTATTATGGAGTCGAGAAGCATAATTTTTTTGATTGGTTCAATTCTTCCAATTAAATGAGTATGAAGAAAAGATCTATGGATAATAGTACAAAACTTTCAATCGTAACTAAATCTTCAATTTTTGCGCTTAAAAAGGGGGATTAAAGCCAAAATAGCTATAAAATGATGGTTTTGGTTTACTAGAACCCTCGACTTTTTATTTGAGCTCGGTAGAAACAAAATTATTTTCCTTAGGATCCCACGAGTAGAAAAGAAATAGGGAACGAAGTAACTAGACTAGAAAGATTTGATAAAATCCCCTATTCTATAGGGATCATCTAAAAAGCAAGTAGCTTTAGATGCATTCGTAAAAAAAGCTGACATAGATGTTATGGATCTCATTTTTTCTCTGATGGGAATACATAGATCTTCCATAAAGGAGCCGAATGAAACCAAAATCTCATGTTCGGTTTTGAACGCAGAAACAAACAATATAATGCACGTGGAACAGTAGTAGGCAAAACAAGAGCAGTATAACATGCTATACAGGGAGAATAGTAGCAAGTAGAAACAGGAGTAATATGATATGCTATACAGGAAGAACAGTAGCAAGTAGAAACAGGACAAGTGTAACATGCTTTACAGGAAGAGCAGTAGCAGGTAAAAACAGGAAAATTAATTGTTGTAAAATGTAAAGCAAACCTGTACGCCCATGAGACCCGTTGTTCCTTAAGTATAGCAAACCTAAATGCATTTCAAAAAGCAAAGTCCGAAAGAAACGTCGTCCAGGAAACCCGAGGAAAAGCGGAGAAACTCAAAAAAATCAACGAAAAAGACTCAAGAGAGTTTAGTAA